TCATGATCTAATTAACAAAGGTTATTATACTCTACAATCCATTGTGTTGTAACCCATTTTAAGGAATTCTGATCATTTATATCACAAAGCATAGCCACCTTAAATGGAATCACTTTGTCAATAACTATGAGCAAGGATTTTGATGGCAAGCACATCTTTAAGCAATCTCAAATATCCATCTTTCAGTGGTTGTCTTCTTTTTCTTTGCACTGTAGATGCAGCAATCAAACAAGCTGACTAAGATGTTTCAAGAGTTTGATAGAAACTTCAATGTGATATTGAAGCTCATGCAACAACCATCTTAAGTAGAAATTGTTAGAATTGATGACTTATTATGAAGTGCATCAAGAACTCTTCATTTAAAAGTTTCCCATGAGTTCATATTTATTTAATTTTCTTTTCCTTTTAGATTCATTGGAATGAAAGGATTTTTTTTTAGTCGTATAAGGATTTGAAACACAAGGATCTTCTTTTGTTTTGCAGAATGAAATAATGGAGGCACTTACATAACTTGTTGAGCCTCATTTTGATGCTGCTTGACATCAATCAGAAAGCTTTTTAACCTAGTAAAAATCAAAGCTCTGTTTGGGTTTTCCGCTTTTTTTAATATTTGGCTTGGGCCAAGTGAATTCTAACAAGATAAAGATGCAAGAGAGCGCGGGCTCTTATTAGATATATGTTTTTTATCTCGTTGACCTCATTATCGATTTCCTAAATCTATATCATCATGTATGTTGAGATTGATCCAAGGGTGGCTGATTTTCTTGTTCATCGTTAGCATCAACATAGGATAGTTAGATAAATAATAAATGCATCATTATCTTAGATATGATTGCAATTATCTTTGATAATTGTTTTTGCTAATTGATTTAAAACCATATCATGAACAAGCTAATCAATCTTCTTGGAATGAAAGAGAGAAATTATTTAACATAATGCAATTACCCTTATTTTAAAGATAATGCTCAATAGAGACTTAGTACTTATATATTTGCAAAATTTAGAACTACAAACTCACAGCATTTTATATCTGATGATTGTATAAAACAAAATTATAATGTTTTAATAATTATAATTAAGGTTACATAAAGGTATCATGAATATATAGCAAATAATTACATATTAGTATAATAACATACATTTAAATTTTTTTTAGAATAAAAATATATATGCAGAATTTAGGTTTATATTTAAATTAAAAGGATAAAATTAAATTTATATTTATATTTATCTTACATGGATAAATTTTAATGTTATATTATTTATATGTATTTATTACTATTATTATTATTATTATTATTATTATTTATTTATCATTTTTTATACTTAATTTGTGTGTTGTCGACGCCGCCTCGGACGCCATCAAATTTTATATTTTTGCTTGTATAATGATCCATAAAATATGATAGTTATTTTCTAGTATTTTCGACATTCATAACATAATAGAGAAATCCGTTTTGCAAACAGATGATGTTTGGGCAACGTCGAGCAATGATTTGTCCGTGGTCCGTTGATTTCGACTGCTTTCGTTCAATTCAACATCGAGAGATCCCACCTTAGATAAATTCAATGCTCTGATCACATCGGTTTGGTCAGTTTGGTAATCAGAAGTCATTCTGACAATTTTTTTATAGCATCGCGCTTGCCAAAAATCATGCTTATCATCATTTTCAACCGAGTTACACACAAATAGATCCTCTTTGATAAATTTGATGTCTTGAATGCATCGATGTAGTCTATTTTATATTCAGACAAAATTTGAATAATTTCATCCCCTGGTCAAGACACATCAATCTTCATTCTGCAATGTCTTGTCTACCAATACTAATCGATTAGCGTCTCATTTGCTTGCATTAACCATGCCACATATGTAGATCGAGGTCAACTGTTTATACAAATAACTATATGAAAAATGCTAAAAGAAGTAAGAAAGTAACAAAGATTATATTTAACTACTACAGAACAACTAGCTAGTAGTTTTCTCATCTTATGCATTGGAGAAAGTACTACATCATATCTTCTCCATAGTACCTTATGCATTGGAGATTACATGATGATCTATCTCCATGAATCCATCTTGTTCTTGCTTCCATTCAGATTCAATTAGAAATTCTATTGGAAGGTCATATTGTTTTCTCATCATCTCTACATAAATTATTCTTCATAATGGACCACAGCTACCTTTCTAATATAGGATGAATGATGTCTTATGAGCTTCCTTTTAGTAAGTCGTTCATTATATGAAAATCACAGATTTTTGGCAACCAAATCTGTTGAAAAAAAATGATAAATTTGGCTGGTAAATAAGTTTACCAGTGGATTTCTAACTGAACTAAGTCTGTCACTAATAAGAACGGAGGAAATCTATTTCTATCAAAAAAAAATATTTGAAAGGAAATAATTCCAATGAAATTCTGATTTTGCTTTACAATCAGCAGACTATATTCAGCGAGAATTTAAAACTTAGTAGTGAAATTTCTGATGGATATGGCCGTTGAAATTTATAGTGGACCGTCACCTAAAATTTATGGAGGATAAGTCCACCGAAAATCTTGTCGATAAAATTTTCATTGTAAGTATGTCAGTATTCAATAACAAAACTATTTTTGGCTAGTTATCCACACAAAATCTGTCAGAAACTTGTACCATTTTGAAAAAAAAACACTCTTTTGTTGCTTGGATTCTTTTACAATTATCTAGAGAGGAACATCATATAATTACACAGTTAAGCATAATAAACCGACGACATAAAAATCTGATAACGACATCACAAAGTTAATAAAATTGAAATGCACATAATCCAAAAAGCACAATACTTCATTAACATGTGTATAGAGTAAATTATATGTTTTGAACAAATATTTAAAATTCAACAATATACAGGGGAACGATAGTGACATCCCTGAAACTAACATTAATCCTCCTCCATGTCTTTACTATCCTTAGCCTCTCCAATTGGTTCAACAAGGAATTTCTCCATGAATCTGTGCAGCTTATCTTGTATTTGGTTTTGTTGCATCTATATTTTAGCTTGTATTTTTTGCATATGCTCCAACTTTTCTATCAGGGTGGTCACCTTCTATCTCACTAGCTTCTTCTGGGTGCTACATGGATAGCTCAATGTGTCGGAAGAGTATGCCTTAAATGCTTATGTTTGTTAGCATAACCCATAAGCTCTCCCCTTTTACAACTTTCCCACTTCTTATGACCAAGTATTGTAATTTGAATACTAACTCGATCCATCATAGGAATCTTCACTAACTGCAGTCTAGCTCTCTCAAAGCTATATATAATTCTCTTGAAACATATGAAATGCATATATAATGATTGTATCTATGTTACTTACATTCATAATAATTTTACAAATCTTAATACTCACTTAGGCTTTCCTTACTCATTATATATCCAATGATGATTATCCTAGTACTACTGGTTGAAATTATGCAACACCATGATAGTGGGCTCTCTACACAGAACTACTTTATGTAATAGAATATGATAAGTTTGCTCAAACTTTGAAAACATATATGCCAAAAAAATATATAACTTATAAGTTCGTATCAAAAATTGACTATGCTTAGTGTGTGGAAGTAGCAGTTGCTATCAAGTCATCCTTATAGTATATCAAGCAAAACATCAGGGACTAGGAGATTTTATGGGTTGCAGTAGACTATTTCAAGAAGTATGTTCATTTTATTCTAATCCAACAGTGTGATTCAGTAGACAATTGTTATAGGTATACATGCGTAAAATTATTTGATTCCATAGGATACCAAAGGTGATTATTTAAAGTTCCAAGAGACGCCCTCTAGAGAATTTTAGAAAAGAAATGAGTTAATAATGCTTACATCTAGGTCATTAAGGATATGTATATAGGAGATGTAAGTAATGTTCAAACATAAGTTGGTTTAACCAAGTATATTTCCTATTTCAGTTGGATTACTTCATGGATTAGCTTTAAGCCCATTTCTTTTTTCTTTAATCACAGATGTTCTTATCAGACATTTATAAGAGGATGTACCTTAGTGTATGCTTTTTGCTGATGATATTCTTTTTGTTGATAAGACTAGAGGGAGAGTTGATGAAAAGCTTAAATTATGGAGGTCAACCTTAGAGTCTAAAGGTTTTCGTTTGAGTAGATTTATAATTGAATACATGGAGTGTAAATTTTGTAGTAATGTATCTAATGGTGAGATTGTGACATTGGGTGATCAAGTCGTTAGAAAGAGTGCACGTTTTTTTATATATTGTGTCTATTGTTCAAAGCAATAGTGAAATAGATAAGAATATTATTAGTAGAAATTAAAATTGCATGGTGAAGCTGAGGAATGCTTCGGGCTTGTTGTGCGATAGAAAAGTACCCCTCAAACTTGACAAAAAAATTTATAGGCTTGCAATGCTTTATGCTGTAGAATTTTGAAGAAACATAAAATTAAGTGTTGTATAGATAAGGATGCTGAGGTTGATGATTGAGTTTATATTTAGAGATAGAATACAAAATGAGTATATATATGAAAAGATTTGAGTAGCTCTAGTGGCAGATAAGAATAGAGAGATTCGTATTGGATTATTAGGTCACTTAAAACATCGGCCTCCTGGTGACCCTATTAGGAAAATAGATGTGTTAAATTCAACCTATATTAAAAAAAGATAGAAGTAGACCTACGAAGATTTAGTTATAAAGTATTAAAAATACATTTATTTAATTATATTTATATGAGAATTTGATTCTTAATATGATACAATTGAGAAAAATGATTCATATAGCCAACCATGTCATATAATGGGATAAAAATTTGTTGTTATTGCTATATTGAATATGGGCAAAACCTTAAATAGTTTGAACATTATTTCTATTAATAATGGTCTCCATGGACCTCAAATTAAATAAGTTGTTGGTTGTCAAAAATAGATAAATTTTAGTTGAAATAATTTTTGCTTATATATTTTCATAAAAATAAAATATAAATTAATAAAAAAATTACTCAGTTGGGACCATCTCATAGACATTCTATTTTCCATCTGCGTGGGTTTGCGCCGAGTGTCTCGTGCAAGCCTAAAATGCCCGCTTCTCCAACGGCGGTTTCCGCCGATACCTACTCCTCTGGTGGTTCATCGCTGCCGTCGCCATCAGCACCAGACGCTCGGAAGCGGCGGGTTAGCTACTTCTACGAGCCTTCTATAGGCGACTACTACTACGGGCAAGGGCATCCGATGAAGCCCCATCGAATCCGTATGGCTCACAATCTCGTCGTCCACTACCGCCTTCACCATCTCATGGAGGTGTGCCGCCCCTACCCCGCCTCTGCTGCTGATATCCGCCGATTCCATTCTGAGGATTACGTCGACTTCCTTGCCTCCATCACTCCCCAATTCCTTGCCGCCTCAGCCTCCACTTTCGGTTCCAGCGTTGCTGATGATGGCAACAGTGTCCACCCGTTCGAGTCCTCGTCGTCTCGGCAGCTCCGACGTTTCAACGTCGGCGAGGACTGCCCGGTCTTCGAGGGCCTTTTCGAGTTCTGCCAGGCCTCCGCCGGTGGATCCATCGGCGCTGCCGTCAAGCTCAACCGTGGTGACGCCGACATCGCCATCAACTGGGCCGGGGGGCTCCACCATGCCAAGAAGTGCGAGGCTTCGGGTTTCTGCTACGTGAACGACATTGTCCTTGGGATCCTCGAGCTCCTCAAGTTTCACAAGGTGATTACCTGCCACACAGATATTCTAGCTTAATCTATCGTTGATTTTGATTTCATTTTGTCTCCAGTTGCTTAAGAATGTTATAAAATTTGATTGGTTTGTGGCTGAGGCGGATGCATCCTTTTTTTTAGGAGGGGGACAAACTCAATATATAAAAAAGTAAATACTATTAGCAAAATTTTAAGTAATGCATTGTATTTCATTATAATTTATGAAGCAAAAAAGAAAATTACAAACTTTGCATTATACTTTATATTTTCTGATAATGTTGCATAATGATTTCATTTAGAACAGAATCAAATACATCTTTCTCAATATATGACACTAAACAATCATTGAGTCAAGTATCACCGACTTTGTTACACAGTCGATGCTTAGTAATCTTATTGCAGAAAATGCTCTCTCCACCGTAGCAATTACAACTAGTAAAGTCAATGCCAAAATAATAAGCTTATAAACTAGGGGATGCATAATATTTTTTTTATCTTTACAATCTGTTTTGCAATAGCAACAATACTAGTCAAATATGTAAACTCATCACTAGTACGTATATCAATAATATAAGTAGATAGCTGATATTCAAGAGACACAATATCAATCATAGAGAAACCTGCTGGATATAACTCTGCAAGACGAATTAACTTCTCCTTATCATAAGAAGAGAACATATTACTTGGATTTAAATATGTCAGACAAAGAAATAACTCAGTATTAGTTTCAGAGAATCGATTATTAAGTTTTAGAAGTTGCATATCAACAACAGTGTAGAATAAATCAACTTGATAATAATGTAAGTTCGTTATTTCTGTACCTTTTCGTACTGACCGTCCACGAGCCTTGAATTTAGAATCCATATTTGAAACTTCAATTTCAAAAATATTACAAAAACATAAAACTTCTTCAATTAAGCTTCCCATCCATTTTCCCTTAACATCTGCAATAATTGCTTGGTCACTTGTATCAATTTCATTGTATTTATATTATCTTGATCATTTTTTTATAAGGCTTGTGATAATTCATTTGTAATTTTTAAAACATCAATCATTAAATGCAATACCAAGATAAAGTTAAATGATTCCATAATATGTATTAAAACACCTGCTTCAACTGAATGTTGATCATGTTTCCCCTCTTCCTTGATAATTTCAAATACTTCTATCACAGAAACATACATTTTTGTTAGACTGATTAATGTTTGAAAATGCAAACTCCAACAGGTTTCACCAACACGATGCAAATTGGCTTATTGGTTCAAACCTCGACCACTAATTAACTCTCCACCACTTAAATGAAAAACTATTTTATCATGCTGAATAACTTTTAGAGTATTATTTCTCTTACATGAAGCTTCAACAATATTGACAATCTTAAATTGATTTCAAATAAATACTTTACTTGTCAATGATTTTTTGCAACTTACACCAAACATAATTGAAGTTGATGAGCAAAATAATGAATATAGTATGCCCGAGGATTATCTTTCAGAATTAGTGCTTTCAAACCATTAAACTCACCCCGCATATTAGATGCTCCATCATAGCATTGTCCACGTATTCTATATATACTTAATAAATTTTTTGCAAGAAGCGCTTCAATTGATGCCTTGAGTGCTAATGCATTTGTTGAAGATGCATGACTAATAACAATGAACCTCTCAATCTCCTGGCCCAATTTATCTATGTATCTCACTGCAATAGCTAACTGTTTTTTTGTAGACACATCGCGAGACTCATCAACTAGAATTGTGAAGTAAGAATCAACAATATCATTCATGATTACAGCCAAGGTCTCAGCAGCCATAGAACTACAAGTCTCTTTTTGAACTTTTGATGCAATCAACTTTAAATTAGCACTTGCGTTTTCAAATGTCACTATTTTAATCTCTTCATTATGATCAGTAAGAAAATGGAATAGTTCTATATAATTTCTTTGGTTATTCGAACTAGATGACTCATCATGCCAACGAAACGATAGCCCTTGACGAATAAGAAATCGAACACAATCAACAGCCGCAGTTAATATGATGCGGTATTCTTTTTTATTATTGTCTTCCTTGCTCGATCATAAATCAGGAATACTCTTTTCTTGAAGCTTCATTAAAGACTCAGATTTCTGTCTTGCTTTGTTGTGTGCGTTATTATGTTCTCCAACATGACCCAATTGCTTCTCTTTTCGCTTCCTGTTCTTAAATCTCTCACCAACAATTGCATCTCCACCGCCTTGGCTAGTATTAACTTGCTCTTGAGGCTTAAACAAGTAGCAATAAAGACAAAATACAACATATTTTTGTACATTATATTCTATCCAATCATGATATTCTTCAAACCATTTTGAGTTAAATCTACGAGCAATATTTCTCATCATTGTTTGAGGGAAATGATGATGTTTTAGAGCTCTGCGAACTTTATCACGCTCATTCACATCATAACTTCATATTGATGGTCGAATACCAGGATCGGCAGGAGATTGTTAATGTCAATCTCGACACGTTCTTTTCGTTTCAAGAATCGTTCAATTTCTCAAAAACCTAATATAAAATGATTATTAAAATCACTACATGATCAGTTATATCATTGCTCTATAATAATTTTATTGATAATTAAAATCACTAGATATTATATTTGTGAATGTTAATTTTTTCTACCTTTTTGTCCTTACCAGCATATGCATCAGATACTTGAAAAATGATTTGTGCAGAGATAAGCCAAGCATATGGAATAAAGGTTGATAAGTAATTAAGTATAATGACGACTATGGTGAACGAATAATCCAAACTCGCCTTTGTAAGAGTTAGGCTCAATATCTACTTTTTATTAGATTTACATTATTATCACATGGTTTAAAGAGCCTGCTCAAAGGAGCCAAAACAAACACAAAACTAATCTAAGAGCAAAGACGTAAAGCTCCGAAGAAAAACATGATGCCAAAAAACCCAAAACAAAAATCTGCTCTAACACATTATCATCTGCACATGTAAGATTCCAATAAAGTAAAGGAAAATGTCTAGCAGCAAATCCATAAATCCATACTAAAGTAGTTCGTGTAGGAGATGTTTTTACCTTCAATAATGCCAGAAGGGGCTGCGAACCGTGAAGACCAGAAACAGGAAGGTTCACGAGGGGAAATATGGAGATTCGCGAAGAAGAAGGCTGTGGGGTGAACGCTTTAGCTGCAAACGAGAGGGCTACGGTGACCTCTTGCGAAGCCGAGAGGCGACACTTGCCTAGGAGAGGGCTGCGACTGGCGGCTACAAACAGGGGCGCTCGAAGACCTCTTGCGAACAGGCCGAACTACGCGTGATGGGCAAATTTGTTGCAGGAGTGAGTAATTTAGGGCAAAGAGGGTTTTTGAGGAGGGGCAAAAACCCAAAAATGCCCCTCTGTTAATTTTTTTTTTCCCAGGGTGGGCAGCCCACCCTCAATTAACAGGGGATCCACCACTGGTTTGTGGTTAGAAAGATGGAAGAAATTTTGAACCCAACCTTGATTTATGAGGTCCTGCTTTTTCATGAGTAGGTAATTTTCCCATATTTGATGATTAAAAATGCATATGTAGTAGAGTATTTCTTTTTTATTGCAACTCTAAAATTTGTAATCTTTTACTGGGTTCAGTATTGTTGGCCTCTGGAAACGACTTAGTCGAAATTGATAATTCAGTTGGCTGGAGAAGAGAGAATGATGACTGTGATAGGGTATATGAAGAAGAAGAAGAATAAGGAGTGTTATACATAGGGAGTTATCTTCCTATGATTCCTGGTACAAGGATTTCATCACCCATTTTCTTTCCTATCTGCCATTTTTGTTAACAAAAATAGCATCTTTGGCTGCACTGAAATAACGCTTCAAATCTAACTTTTCCACTTTAGTTTGCTTTCATAATGTGTGCACTTCAAGTGCTCTGAATATCTTTTCTTGGTCCTTTTCTCCATGGTTTGTTAGTGAGCACTTTGCTTATAACATTTGGGTTACCTGAATGCCTCACTTGATAATAGTTGGGCTGAGGACCTGTTCGATAATTTTCAGATTATCTCCTTCAGCTTTACGTTCTCATTTTGGAATTATCTTTTGCACATATCATGGAGTTTAGACATTTGTGTTGTCTATAGAATTCATGTTTGAATCAGGGTGTTATGCACCTTGCTCTTAAAAGACTTTTATAAATCAAAAGGAATTCAAGAGTAAAGTCACTGCACCCCAATCTTCAATTTTTTTTCTCCCTTCCCTCCTTGTGACATGATCAAGCTATATTCTTATTGCCATTAAACCCAAAATCTTTCTCTTTTGTTGAAAATATAAGGACAAGGAAGATTTAAGCACAACAATACTCATCAGGTTTGCATGGTCCATCTCCTCTTACTTTGTATTTGTTTATCCCTTGAATTACTTTCCTGCAAAACAAGGAAGTGAATATCTTGAATCTCACTTGATTTCTGTTATGGTTTAGGCCTAATTAACCCCGAAGAGCATCTTTTTCTTCCTTGCAATCTTCTGCATGAGTGTCCTTACCAAGGCTGTGAAAACTGAATCAAACAACGAACTGGAAGAAGAGATTAACAATTCAGTGGTTCGATCGAGGATGAATCGGCTGACATAATAACTATTAATTTTATTCAAATATAATATAAATTTAACTGATCTTTCCTTTTTTAGTCATAACTCATAAGTTCAAATCCAATTTTTCATGAAATCATTTATTTTCTTCCTCCAATATGTGAAGCTCTAAAAATCAAATGAAGATAATAAAATTAATATCATTCAAATAACATAAAATATAAAAAAATATAAGTTGACGTAAAATAAACAAAATGCTAATAGATTGCATATGAGAAGATCATAAAGTACACTAAAATATTTGAAAATGCAGAGAACACACATTCATGATATAGAAAATAAAGTAAGCAAGAGTTCTCAATTCAATAATTCACATCAGTTCAAATATAAAAAAATAAAAATATCTAAGTGAATCTAAAGGTCATCTCCCATAGTTGCATCAACAAAGAT